TGAGGGGGTTCTGACTTTCTGTGATGGGGGGGGGTCAATCGTCCAAAATTGCGTGACGTCATCGATGGACGGCCCCTTCAGTCTTCAGGAGGCTTCTTGTCTTCAGCTGGACGACGACTGCCGGGACCGTCCATAGGGTCCGGCTGTTATACAGAGCCGTGGCTCGCTCCGCCCCGCCCACACCTTCTCGAACCACCTCGGGTGGTGACCACCCAGCTAACTACGCTATGGAGGGGTTACTGCTATGAAGGGTCGGACCCTCACTCGGGTCTCCGACCACGTGGTTGCCTCGTAAGACAAAGAACTTCCAGTAGAGCTTCCCGCTTGTAGGTGTTGAGCTTCCAGCTTGTAGAATGCAGCGAGCCCCGGTCCCTCTCAGGGACCCACCTTATATCCCCCTACGGTCGGGGCCGCTCCGCCCTCTGCCCCGCCCGCCTTCTCGAGCATTTTCGTTCCCTCTCGATCCTTCTCAAGAGCTCTCCCTGGACACGTGATCACCCACTAGGCCCCCCACCTGGGGCCCCCTGTGTAGACACTCCGGATCACGTGTCTACAGGGTCGAGCAGAGTGCCATGGCCCGGGGCAACCCTGCCCCTGGGCTGACACTCACCTACTGCCCCTCGTGGGAACCCGCACCACCAGAGGTCGCAAACGGGTTTTGATTCCTTACCCATACCCGGCCGCACCAGGGTCGCAAATGGGTACCCGTACCCGTTCCCTACCCGTACCCTACCCGAAATGAGTGACAAACGGTGACTCACCAGTGACTCACGGTCTACCCGTACCCGGCCGCACCAAGGTCGCAAACGGATACCCGGGTACGGGTAGCCAGGTATCGGGTAGGGTACGGTTATCGGGTACCTGGTTGCGACCTCTGCCCACCACACGCTGTGCATGGTGCCCGCACTATCCTAGTGCTCACCAAGCCCCGCTAGGGCTGGTGTTACACACAGCCATCCACACGGTGCTGTCCACGATGTAGGAACATCGAATGGCACGGCCCTTCTGGTCCAGCACCATACAGTGACATCTTCGATGTCACTACATACGTATAAATAACAGTTTAATGTTCAAAAAATGTAAATCTCTTCTTTCGTGTGGCTGATGTCGATGCAGAGCAACAATAACAATTTAAAATCAGGTGGTCAAGCCAGATAACCGCGTCAGGAGTAGCAAAGTGTATCGCTGTGATGACTCCTTCGTATTTGTGAATCAGGCATATGTTGTATGGTCTGTTCTGGATGGCCACAGTTGCACACTGGGGAGTTTTTAATTTTCCATTAAAAAGGTAAATAAGTGCAATTTTACGATTTGTATGGGGCATTGTTGGGAGGATAAGTGGTACCTATGGCAATGAACAGTTTGACTATTGTACCAAAGCAATATTAGCTATCGTGAACATGAAGGCACCTTTCAGCATGGTTCTGCTTAATTACAGTGACCTCAATGCAAACAGAAACGCATTGTAAGCTTCTGACCTTCAGCATATCTTAACAAAAACGATTTATCGTTCACTTGGGTTACAATTGCAAGAAAGGCATATTGACATAAATAAAACAACAGTGTTACAAATTCTAGCTAAATTCTCTATATTGCAACAGGTGGTTTTGTAAAAAAAACACAAGGGCGACGTGACCTTGAGTAAATCTATGGAATGTTTATGAAGTAGAATTTTTTTTATGAATCAGCCTTGAGTGGTGTTGCCTTGTCCATCTTAAACGTACATTCTTCATGCAACTTCAGGTTCACCAGACGCTCAAACATCTATTGGTCCAGTAAATTTAATTTAATTTGTACAACCTAATCGTCAAGCTCTTAAATGTTCACAAATGGGAAAAAAATACTATCCTGTGAAATTCAGAAAGTTTACACAACTTCATCGGCGATTAGGATTGCTTGTAACTCGTGTAGTCTTGGCTTTAAATACACGTTTATATAACTCACAAAGAGGTTCACAACGAGTGTGCAGAGACCTCACTGGGCGAAGACGGCCGAGCTGAGACATAGTCCGCAGTCTTCACTTTGCTTTGGCATTATTTTGTTGAACTTATTTCCCACCGTACGTAGCCAACCGTGCTAATCGGAGGTGCGGAGAAAGGACAACAAACTAAACACAAAAAGCGGCTTTGATTTGCTAAACAGTTGCATAAAACACCTTGGGAATATTTTGAACGTTTACCCGTATAGCCCTTTTGTCAATCCCACCTAGATGTGGGCCTCTCCACACGATGTGATTCATGGAGATTATTTGACTATACTTCACCACGTGGATCAGTATTGGTTGGTGAAAGCGGGGAGCATAGATGTTGGAGCACAATACAGGACAACTGGTTTTACTGTACTACCATCTTCTGCCCATCACGTAGCCCATCCTATACATCTCAACAATTACAATATTACATTCTGTATGATTTGATGAAAAACACAGCAGTCAGTGCTTAACGATTGTTACAAATCAAAAATTAATCTAGTACAGTGCTGTGACATTTCTGCAAATGTACCATAGTTTCAAAGTGTTAGAGCAGTTGTGCTGTACCTAATTATTTATTGGCAGATGATCCTATTAACCAAAAAAAATCTAAGCATAACCCATTGCCCCACAGCAGCCTGACACCTGTTTTATGCATGGTGGTCACCTATCGAAGCAACTTGCAGGCTCAAGCATGTATCGTTCATAGACATAATAGGCATGGCCTTTTGCAATGTCAGCTCCTTTTTATTATTACACGCTTTTATTTAACTCACTCTGTCTGTTGTTGTCGTTGTTGTTGTATCCTCAAATATTGTAACTCAATTTTAACCCACTTCCCAATGTGGTATCGACTACAAACTTGGTATACTTATGCCATACTGATGACAATGCCGTATTCTATCATAAAAAATAAAAAATAAACATTTTAAACTATCTTTTTACACGCTTTCTATGAACTCTGTCTGTTGTTGTCGTATCCTCAAATATTGTAACTCAATTTTTACCCACTTCCCAATCTGGTATCGACTGTAAACTTGGTATACTTACGTAATACTGATGACAATAGTATATTCTATCAAAAAAAGTATTAAAAAATCATTTATATTAAGTTCACTTGCTTGCTTGCTTGCGTGCTTGCGTGCTTGCTTGCTTGCTTACGACCGTGCAGATCTTTCGGTCGTTTTTTAACCCGCTTCCCGTGATCCAATCGAGCTGACATTTTGCACACAGACTCGTTGTGCGAGACAATTAATTTTCGTGAAATTTTTTTTCCAAAATTTTACACTGTTTAGGCAAATTTTTTAAAATATTTAATTACCAATTGCTTAATGGTGGCAGACAATCATCTGACCCATAGGTGGCAGCCATCTCAAGCCAGAGGACGAGAGGACTCTAGCCGCCCGTTTCATGATGACGCAAATGTTTACTAACCACATGGCATGAAATCCCTGCCCCCACGCTGTTCATTGGAGACTATTTATAGAGCAGTTAAATTGAAGCCGCCAGGTTCTTGAAAGTGGTAAAACGGGTCAACGCTAGTGCCCTCGGGAATATACTGGGCATGTAAAGAGGACATTCTTGAAGAGTTTTAGTGAGTTTTAGTGAGTTTTAGTTTCTCTTGCGTATTCATAGTGTAAACAAACTTCAATTTTCACTTTCGTCGTCGTATTTTTGGCCAGTATTATGTGAATTGTGGATCAAATGTGAATCGAAGGTGATATTACATCATAATGGTTTTCATTGATGAAATTTCATTAATTGTATTTAGTTCTGTTTTACTGCTTCAGCTAAAATAATAAATTTCACACACATCGTCCAAATTCCTGTACCAGACATTTTGAGAAAGAAGTGCCTGGTCAATCCAGATCTACGTCTTATTGCGCAACTTTTAACATTTCATGTTCACCAAACATCAATCATGATCCATATATATTGGTAACGGTAAGATTATATTTAATTACCAATTGCTTAATGGTGGCAGGCAATCATCTGACCCATAGGTGGCAGCCATCTCAAGCCAGAGGACGAGAGGACTCTAGCCGCCACGCATATAAAGGATTTACAGTGAAAAACTTAGTTTTTACGGGTTAATTTTTTAACATTCATTTTTATATATGTTTTGGTTTGGGTTTAATTGTCCACGCTCAACTGACGTTGGCTGTAAATCACCACGATCCCTTACGTTATGGCAAGCTTCGCGTCCACTTCATAGAGTCGTGGAGTTCTGCCATTAGGAGTAGGATATATTTAATTAAAGCGTGTTTAAAAAAAAGTTTATTTAAATATTACTTATTAGTCCATGAGCCCAGACCAGATATTTCACTTGTCGGTACCACCTGAGGTGGCATACCATGAGCGGTTCTAATTTCTTAATGTGGCCAACAACAATTAATTATGTGAAAACCATTTGAAATGAGTGGGTTATCAAATTCATGTAAAAAATTTTAATTTATTTCGTGGCCAACAGTGCTATTGATAATTCACTATTAGCCATAGACATAGTTTGGTACGGTACGTATGAAGTTTAGCTACTTTAGGTGGTACCAATTTCTGTTCTGGCCCATGGACTACTGGCGGGGAGGAGTTCATGAAGAAGGAGTGGCAACGGGCGGTCTGGTTTGTGGTAACCTCACACGTGTGATTATCCATGCTGCCTTCCCCATTCACTTGCCGTACCAACCCCCGTGTGTTGCAACTGGCACACACAGCAGCGACACTGCTGCCACACCTCTCAATCCGTTCTCGTGGTGCCCAGTTGTTGCTGGTTTGAGAAACCAACGACACTTACGGATTTATCTAAAAGCCCTCCCACCCCGGATTAAACAAAAAAAAGAGCTGCACGTTTTTTTTCCCCCTTTCCAATCTGGACAGTGGTATTTAAACAGCATGCATTAATAAAACATTACACATGGATCATGTGCCGTGGAGGCCCTCGTGATCACCGCTTCCTGCCTATCTGCAGTTAATGAAAGGAGACTTAATCAATTCAGCACTGCCAAAGGTAAGCTTTGTAAAAACTTATATGTTCTGTGATGTTTTGCTGTACATGAAATACACGGTGTTGTGTGTATTGTGATGGTTGTGGTTTTTTACATATACAAGTGGTGTTGTACACTTTATTTTTACACAAGAGTGCTTTTGTGCAACTGTGTTTTGATATTTCCGGTCCGAGATGAGAGCATGTGCTTACAGTTAAGATGGTTGTATATTTATAACCCGGTCGGACATTGACTTAATCGGTATGGATCTGGGGCTTTATAATTTAGGTACCACTTTTTTTGGGAAGTCTATATCGGTTATCCTTTGTGGGTAAGCACAAACCGAGCATAGGAATGTCTAGAATGTCCACCGATAACTGAGAGTTGTAAACAGGAAATTGGCATGACCCCCATTCTTGTTTGAATGGGAAACCGCATTGACTTTTTGATTTGTATCTTTCCTGCAAGCACATCGAACAACAAGGCGTATAGAAAGTTATTGTTACAGAGTACTTAAGCATGTGTTAAGTGTTAATTGTATTAAAAGTACACGAATTGTAACGCACTAATTGCGGTGTATTAAAATAGATTTGCAACGTGTAGTTAAAATGAAACTGATTCATGTGGACATGTTAGTGGGGTTTGGGACACCAAAAGGGTGTTAAATTCTGGCACTTGTTACGTTTACAGATTCATGGCAGAAACATTGAAAACATCTTGTTGTAATGTTGGGCAGCTTGTATATATCAAGAGCACGTTGAGACAACACTCAGATCATGTTTTGAAGGCTATTTTATAGAGTAAAAATCCAGCTTGTTGTTGTGGTTAATTTCATGCTTTGCAACATAAAGGCAATTTATGAGAAGCATACATTTTTTACATGTGTAAGAAGTGATCAATAATAAAAACATGTTACGATTCGTTTGTATTTTCATCATGGCATATGGAAACTAATGCACACACCACTTATGCATTTTCATTTTGATTGTAACGTAGTCGGTTACATAAAAATGAAACGGGATATGCCTGTTCAGCTGGTGCATTGAAACCTACCCCAAACCAAACACCGTATCTGTACTTTAATTGACACTTCTAATTAATTCAGTACTGGTAAATGTTTAAAAAATTCTTCCGTTGATGGCCTTTCTTTCCTTTGTGTTGTTTTTCCATGCGAGACTACTCCACACCAGGACTTCACACCCAGCCATCTCTGCCGCTCCGAAGTGTATGTATGGTGCGAAAGAAGCACAACACACGTACAGCAAAACCACGATTGCAAAGCAAGTTTATGTAAAACATCTTCAACTACTGTAACTTGAAAAATCATCCAACGACAAGCAACCATATTCCCAAATAGGACCATTGCAATTCCACCGTTTTATTAATACTTTTTTAAAAATCTAATTATATATTACCTGGACTAAAAACCAACAAGAACCACCACCGTTCGTGTAAAAATGTCACACGGAAAGCGAAGTTCTTCTCACAGAGGGCCAGCCCGGGCCATTCAGGAGGCCACCTCCGTGGAGAGACTGCAGGTGCCGGTGTCACCTGTGCGCCTGGAGATGTCCGAGACCGCCAAGACGCGAGTCGGCGAGGCATCTTGGGACGACATGCTGGGCCCGGGCCAGGGCCAGCATGTCGTCGAGACGACTCCGCAAGTGGCTCTACATGGCCTGCCCCATGACCCCCGCAGAGGTCGCCGCGTGTCTACGTACAGTCATCTGCTGATGTGCGGACGAACCTCCACCATCCAGTCCCGTGTGTATAACTTCCTGGAGCGGCCCACCGGCTGGAAATGCTTCCTCTACCACTTCTCTGTGTGAGTACTGAGAGATACATTCATGGGCACCCAGGGTCACGGAAGGGGGGGATGTGTTGTTGTGTGCATTAACACTCGTACATTTTCCATTGCGCCAAGTGGTTTCTCATGTCCGGTGCTTGTGCCAATCAACCTTCCGAACCTAGCCCGCAAGCCATCCGGCTTCCCATTGTTGCAAATCTGTGTCCATCCATGAAGAGGTTATTGCATTAAATTTACTTTTTGTGCGTTGAGTGGTTAACAATGCGAGACATTGTGCTGGTTGTGGGGTGGCATAATGACTGGGGAATGAGAAGTGCTATTTTTTATTATTTAAAAGTAAATTATAAAATAAACACGTGGACTTAGACAATGTTCAAAGCCGTCTATTGTGCCAAAATGTGTTTTTTATGCTTACATATCGTTTTGCAAGAATTACGATAGTTTTACCATTTGTAACCTTTTTCAACAAAAGCCGTCCTGTTGAATGCCTGTTTACGTGTGGGGGGGGGGGGGTGTGCAGGGGCAATGCATGGCCCGCCTCCTATCCATAAACATATTCCTGTGGTTTAATGATATTGAGTGTAATGTAATGATTATGAAGTAAATGACGTGCTAGTTCAGCCAATTTTCGCACACCTACTGCTGGATGAAGGGCTGGACATTTGACCATACTTCACCATGCTGGTCAATAGCAGAAACGTCGTGAGAATTATTTTATTATGTTTTATTTTTATTATTTTATTATTTCCCATCTACGTGACTTTACCGAAAGAACCAAGAAGATGAATCCCTGCAGTCACGAAAGCTTTAAATCGAAAAATAGCAGGTTAGTGAAGGCTGGGAGCATAGTCATGGGTCTTAACACGACTGTATTTTGTTGTACTGCCTTCTGCTGCCCATAATGTAGCCCCACAGCAACCTAAACAACCTACCGTTCATGGTGATCAACTATCCAAGCACTATTCAGGGGCAGAACCTTGTTCAGCTTTTGAGATCTGATTAAGTTGGACGCATTCCGAATTATTTGGTCATCGGGGAAACATTTTTTAGCTTATTAACTATACTGAGGAACACTTCAGCGCCACACATGTTTTAAATAAACAAACTCTGACACCTTAAAAACATGATTCTGTAAAATGGTAGAGTAGGTCATGTTCATACTGAAATGTTACACATAGCAGTGCCACGCAAATGCATTGTAAGTGTTAGTTAATGGAAATATTAACTTTATTTTGTCCTTGTATCTATACATGGTGCAGTTCTTTAATGGGAAGGCAACTGTGCCATGTGAGCGACGTTTCCATACTGTACTTTCACGAAATAATGTTGATAGGAGATGGCACGTGGGTGTAAATTTATAAGCTGATGTTTGCCAGAATACCATGATAAGGCATCTTCAAAAATGCAGCAATGTTAAGCACAACATTGACTTATTTTAAAGTCTCATTTTCAATAACCTGCATAAATGTGCTACACTTGCACATGAAATGTGTTTCACTTGATCAGCTAATGTAGATGCGGATTTCAAGTGAGGACTGATACCTCAGGTTTCTCTCCGAGGCCAGCTTGTATACTCGGTAACTGATTTGCTGGGTAGGTGCTTAAATCGGTATTAAATTAGCTATGTCAAATAATGCATAGCTTGTGTTATTATTTTGTAACGAATGGAAATATCTTGAAACCTTCAACGTCCGATTGTGTTGGTGGTAATCGTAAAGGGCAAGTAATAAGGTGACAATATTATTAGGGAGTGGTGTTCGGGAAAGCTGTTTAACTCGGAGGAAAAATGTAGTGGGACTGTCTCATTTCGAGAGGAGAAATCAGATTTGAGCCTAGGCTATTTTTGTGAATGTAACCATATGTCAGTCCGTGTAGACTGTAGACCAATATAATATCAATGTGTACATGTGGCGATAGTGTGAACGTGAACTGAGTGGACTAGAATTGAGTCAGTGCAGTGATTTCAGCATCACAATTAACGATGACGTAATAAAGTGGCGCGAATGATTGAAGGTTGTTATTAGCAACAACACTAATGATAATGCCCTATATTTGACCATAACAGCCACACTGAGTCTCAGCACTGTTCACGAGGGTCCTGCAAAAAAAAAAACACAATTAATACAAATAATGCCTGAGGATAAATAATGAACGTGCTCCCCATGAGCACGTTGCTGTTGTGAGTGCAGCCAATGTTACAGTGAAGTGCAATTCCAAGAGGGAGGTCTCCAGATCGTGAAGTGCTTTGGATCTTTTTATCTCCATTGTCCAAAACTCGAGGTTATTTGTGCTTTTGCACCACTGCCAGCGCAGTATATAATATCATATATTTTGTAGATTAGTGATTGCATTTGTTTTTGTACTCGGTCACATTCACAGGGTGGTGATACCTTAAATCTGCGCCATCTCATCTTTAAAATAAAGCGGTGTTAAAACAGTTGTGCCATGGTTAGGGCACCACGCCATGAACCCGGCAACCTGAGTGATTTCCAACCGTGGCTAACATTGGTGGCAAGTGATAACGAAACCAGACCTGGGTCGGCCACCCCCTATGCAAACCCACATTTACCAGTGAGAAGTATGGACAAACAACTGCCATGACAGACATCCCATGAAGAGGTCTTCGTACACCAGTAGATTCATACAAGGCTGTGAATTATTGAATCTTATTTTCTAAAGATAAATGACTAAATCATACTTTAATACTATAAAAGCACAGAGTGATTTGGAATATGTTCTCCTTTAAGACCTACTCAACCAAACAGATGTGAAAGACGTACATGAAACGAAGCATATACATGTCATAGTCTGAGTGCTCTTAACAAAGCAGACCCTTGACTTGTGTGTGCAACCAGTCGGGCTCCAAGTGGTGTTGCTGTGAACTGGCTAATATGGTAGTGCGACCTCACGTTGCTGAGATTGAATTCAAGCCTGAAAAGGTATTGTGACCATAAAGAATTGCATACTGCCTCTGGAAGAGTTTAAAGTCATTCTGAAGCAAATAAATACTTAGCAAAAAGTGAGTGCAGAAAAATTGTGATTTTTATTTTTACAATTTAGAGGCTGACCAACCATATTGGAAAGCCACATTTTGGAAAGACCTTGCTACCATAAACTACAATCGCATTGTGATATGGTAAAAAAGCTGATAATACTTGTTATAGACTATGAATTATTTTATTTCGTGCAACTTTGTCTTCCAGTCATCGCACTAACTACGTATGTATGTTGAACGTCTTTCGTACCGTACGAAAGACGTTTAGAAATGCTAAGTATGAACCAGCTACACTGACATTGGAGGACTACGAGGGTAGTCAGGCAAGGAGATAGGGTATCACCAAAGTTTGGAGAATTTAAAGAGATGAACATAAATGGAGAAATTATTGTCCTCATATTTGCTGATGACATGGTCATTTACAAACAATGGAAATTCATTACGGGGAATGTTTTAATAATGTAATAAAGAGGGCTGTGCCAAGAAGAGTTCAAGATAAATAGGAGCAGAACAGGTCATGTACAACAGGTTTGCTATACAAATGAATATATACCGAAGGGAATATATTGGAAAACACATGAGAGTATGATTGCCTACGACAATTATTGAAGGCAGACCAGGATCAAAATGATAAACGCAAGCGAGAGTAGTTTGATTTACTTTCATAGAAAACTGAATTGATCATGGAAAGTAGAATATCAATGTGCTTTGAGAGGAGCAGTACCTCGGAGCAGATAAAAATGTAATCACTACATACTACGTGCTATGACATTAATTACTTGTGTGGACACTTACAAATAAAATTAAACGAAGTTTAAATGCGTGCAAGAGAAGTCTGGAGCGGGGGGGGGTATTCTTGCAACTATGTTGAGAGACAGAGGAAACATGGATCAGAGAACACATGCAAAGTAGTGACACCATATTTATTGTTAAGCAAATGGACTTGGGGAAACTGACACATCACTAGAATAGATGGTGGCCGATGATCGACTCACAACAGAATGGCAAAGCAGAGAACACACCCAAGAAGGCGACTGCTACAGAGATTGAGAAATGAGTAAGCTCATGTGCAAGGAATTGCATGGACCGTTGTGAGACTTTAATGCAGCAGTAGATGGATCATGGCTAATGATCATATTGAAACGCGTTTGCAAATGTGAATAGTCATCTTGGTTCTTTCGGTAAAGTCACGTAGAAGGGAAATAATAAAATAATAAAAAATAAAACATAATAAAATAATTCTCACGACGTTTCGGCCACAACGCAAGCAGCCGTGCTCAGGTGAAGAACAAGTCTGTCGGGAAGACTTGTTCTTCACCTGACGTGTTCTTCACCTGAGCACGGCTGCTTGCGTTGTGGCCGAAACGTCGTGAGAATTCTTTTATTATGTTTTATTTGTATTATTTTATTATTTCCCTTCTACGTGACTTTACCGAAAGAACCAAGATGATGAATCCCTGCAGTCACGAAAGCTTTAAATCGAAATGTGAATAGCATACATGGTGCTCTGTTTCTATAAGCAAGACCTTGTATATGTTTAGGCATGCGGATGTTTAAGATAATTGCTGCCTTTGCCTGATAAGACACACTCCCCCACATAACTATAGCAATCCCCCACACCCCCAATAAATTTGGCCGACATTGCTATGCCAGATATGGTTGTGCATCTTTTTTATATTCGTGGAAATGATAGTGATGCAGTTTGGAACAAAAACTTTAAATATTTTAACTTGGAAAGAATTGCCTCAGAGATAGCCACGTGTTGTTTTTGTTACACACACGAGAGCGAGCAGAGGACAATTTAATATCAGTAACTCTGTTGGTGTAAAATGTGCTCGTTAAATAACAACGCATGCGCAAAACACACGGTGGATGTTGTGAAATATGCAATACTGTACTGTGCAAACACTTACAGTATTTTAAGCAAATACAAAAAATTCATAATCCATTGACATTTACCATGGCTCAAATCGATCTAATGGATAATTCTGTGCACTCAATAAATGCATCGTTCTACAGATAA